CATTTTGAACGGGAGGAAGGGGGGGGGGCTTGGATTCCTCTCTGCGCAAGCTGGGTCTCCCCGGACAGTCGCCCCCCCATCCCTCCTTCTTTCATTCCAGACCCCCCACACACACACACACACACCGAGGGGGCAAGGAAGACGTCATTTTGACACTCCCTACAGTGCCCGCTGGCACCCTGGGGTGGTGGTCAATAAATGCGCACGGGGGGGGGCGGTAACTGCGGGATTGGGGAGCCTGCTGCCAGTCGCCTTCTGTCTCCTACTTCCTCACTGCCCCCCCCCCCGCGCCTTGTCCCTCCAGAATTCTGGAGTAGAGAAGAAACCATTTTTCCAGCCGCCTGTTTGGGATCCCAGCAGGGGGCTGCACTTCGCCCAGCGCTCCCTTTGGGGCACCCGACCAAGAGGGCTTGCTTCGTTTCGACGCTTCCCACAGGCTGGCTGGCTCCCTCTCGGGCCCCGAGCGCCGTCCACGTTGAGCGGCACAACCAAACCTGCATTCGGCTCTGCCCGGATGACACGCCGGGGCAGACTCCTCCTCCTCCTCCCCTTCCCCGGTCCCTTAACTCTTCACTCGCTCCTCCGAGGCTGCGGTCACACCACGCTAAAAAAGAATGCCCTTCCAATCAACTTTTCCTGCACTTCCCAACGGGATTTTGCCAGTTCACACTACAGTCAGATTCAGTTGGCGAGAGCATTGAAAGTGCATTATTTGGTGTATGTGTGATTGCAGCTCGAGACTGGGGGGTGGGCGTGAGGGTGGGATTGCTTCGTTTCGATGCCGCTTGTTTCTTCTACACCCCCCCCCCAAAGCTCGTACCTGATGCCCCTTCAAGAGGACCCCGATAACTCTCCGATAAGTTCTGCGCCGAAATTGACGAGAGACCAGAGAATCGCCCTGCCGGGAGCCCAGCAAGACCAGCTGTCTGCTCGGATACAGCGCCGGCTGGCGCGGACTCCTTTGATCTAACCGAGGACCGGACTGTGCGATCCCATTTTTTTACATCAAAAGTATAAATATCACAAGGTTCGCTTCTCTAGAGTCCTCGGGTTTCGCCCCACCAAAAGCCTGGACGCTAAAAGTGGCTCGTAATTTCCAAAGGAATATTTTTTTTTGCACGGCAGAGCAAAACCAGAGTCCGGTAGCAGCTTAAAGACCAGCAGGGGATTCTCTAAGCTTCTGAGAGTCAAAACTCCCTTGTGCCCTAGAAACCCTTGTTGCTCTCTAAGGGGCTGCTGGACGCGAATCTTGCTCGTCTACTCCTGACCAACAAGGCTCCCCAGCTGAAACGATCTGCAAGGAATAGGTCACATTTTAGGAATACATTAAAAAAAACAGCAACAACCTTTTAGAAAAGTTACAAAAGCTCTCTGGATAAGGAGCCTGACGATACAGTCCTACGCAGTGTGTAGCTCGCGGGTTAGTTCCATTCAGTTCCGTGGGGCTGACTGACTCCCAAGTAAACCTGCGGAAGACCCTGGCCACTCCATACCCACTAGGAAATGACTGCCCTTTGGAGGTTTCGGTCAAGGAGAAGCCTTACCCACAACTTCTGGAGGAGGAGGAGGCACCGTCTACAGTAGCCCTCCGGGGAACCTTAAATCGCCCGCAGCGGCTGTATATTCTGGCAGTGGGAAAGGCTGAAGAGGTTCGCTCCCCGGCTCCTGAAATCCGGGATGATTTAAGACCATTGATAAATGCAGCCCCCGAGACCGGAAATCCCGGTTCCTCCAGCGGGGCGGCAAGAGTTAAGTCTTCCCCAGCTGTTCGGCCGACTTCTTCTGACGCGGAGGAGGGCTCGGCGGGAGGAAAGTCTCTCTGGATGCGGTTGAAAGGAGGTTTCTTTCAGGAGGGGAGGGCGGGGGGGAGGAGGCATTCTTCCAAGCAGAACTTAAGAAGAATCGCTTCCATCTCGCGTAGGAGCTACCAGTGATGGCCACCTCTGGGCTGGCCAAACTCGGCCGCTTGGAGAGATGGTCATGCACCGCTGGGCAGGCGGCTCCCCCCTCCGGGATTCCCTCCCCCCCTCATACCTTCCCACAGGAGACGGAGTGCGTGAGACACACACAGACAGGCACCCTATCCTGGGCCACCCCCCACCTCCCCCCAGGTAGCACAGGGGCGGCCAGGGAAACAAACCTCCTTCAAACCTCCTCGGAAGTAAGGTGCGCCCCTTCCTATAGGACGGGCTCCCAAGCCAAAGCGGGCACAGAGACGCGGTCGTCGGGCTCGGAGCAAAGCGAGAGGAAAGAGCGCCCCCCACCCCCGAAGCCAAGCCTGGCGCGAGAGAAACGATCGGACCGCATCTAGGTGTTTTTTTTTCCCGGGGGTGGGGGGG